GAGAAACCTCATGGAAGTTCAGTTGGTTTTCCTTTTAAGGGTTGACGGATGGCAGTGCTTCCAGCTGAATTGGCTGATTTACAGTCCAGGGTAGGGGAAGAAAAACCACCCTGAGCTACTGTAAGTTAGCAGAAGCATTATTAGATCAGCACCACACCATATTAAAAGAGCAGCGCCAAAGCACATGGGAAATTCGTTTTATTTCAGCGAAGGGCAAAATCCGTTCTTGCATGGGGATGCTGTTAAATCTTCCAGCAGCCAGATCAGCCAAGCACTCTCCTAGGCCTCTGGAAATTATGCCAGCTCAATATTTGACACGGGGGGAAGGGTCTTCCAAATAGCACTACCCTCTTCCAAGGAAAGAGGCTCTACAAATCATACTGAATGCCACTGGTGATGCAAATGCCCAGCTGTCTGCAAGGAGGATAATTCCTTCCATTCCCCACCATCCAGCCAGAGCCGAAGAAGCTTCTTGGATGAGAAGTGAAATGTCTTCAAAAGAAAATAAAAAGAAGGAAGTCCAGTTGCTTCCTTTGAAAAAGCACCTTTGGGACAACCATGAACTGGAGGACAGAGGACCTCTACAGACTTTTAGCTATGCAATGTGGGATGGACACCCTCAGAACGGCATGGGGGTAGGAATGGATTTCCGGGGGGGGGAGGGAGAATTGCAGACTACAGGAACCATTTGCAACCACTCAGGTGACCCTGAAGACACAGATAAACCTCCAAGTGGCCTCAACGACCCTCTAAAAGGCTGCAAATGACCAGCTGTCTGCAAGGAGGATAAATCCTTCTATTCCCCCTCCATCCAGCCAGAGCTGAAGAAGCTTCTTGGATGAGAAGCAAAACATCTTCAAAATAAAACAAAGAAAGTCCAGTTTGACTCTTGAGACAACTATGACCTGGATGACTGAGAACCTGCATAAAAGGTAAAGGTTCCCCTTGCACATATGTGCTAGTCGTTCCTGACTCTAGGGAGCAGTGCTCATCTCCGTTTCAAAGCCAAAGAGCCAGCGCTGTCCGAAGACATCTCTGTGGTCATGTGGCCGGCATGACTAGACACCGAAGGTGCACGGAACGCTATTACCTTCCCACCAAAGGTGGTCCCTATTTTTCTACTTGCATTTTTACGTGCTTTCGAACTGCTAGGTTGGCAGAAACTGGGATAAGGAACGGGAGCTCACTCTGTTATGCAGCCCTAGGGATTCAAACCACCAAACTGCTGACCTTTCTGATCGACAAGCTCAGCATCTTAGCCACCGAGTCACCGCACCCATGTATAGAACCTACAAAGACCACTGTTAATGGGCGTGGCGCCTGATCGGTGGGATGACTCCCATCCATCCCCTTGAGACAGCAGGAGAAACCTGGCATAAGATGTGGCCCAGACATTTACAGAACAACAGAATTACATTCGCTTCGGAGCAGCTAGCAAAATGTGAATCTGATGTCTATTGAGAGTCTTGAAAAGACTCACACAGATCCAGGCATAAGTTGTTATCTGAGAAGTCCAGATCATGATAGGTCAACTTTCTAAAATCCTACTCTGGTGACAAGCAGGTGAAGAACTCCAATCAATACCAACAAACTCAGCCAAGTTTCATAAAGGTAAAGGTAAAGGTTCCCCTCACACATATGTGCTAGTCGTTCCTGACTCTAGGGGGCAGTGCGCATCTCTGTTTCAAAGCCAAAGTGCCAGCGCTGTCCGAAGTTGTCTCTGTGGTCATGTGGCCGGCCTGACTCAATACCGAAAGCACACAGAACGCTGTTACCTTCCCACCAAAGTGGTCCCTATTATTTCTACTTGCATTTTTACATGCTTTCAAACTGCTAAGTTGGCAGAAGCTGGGACAAGTAACAAGAGCTCACTCCGTTATGCAGCGCTAGGGATTCGAACCGCCCAACTGCTGAGCTTTCTGATTGACAAGCTCAGCGTCTTAGCCACTGAGCCACTGTGTCCCTCAAGGTTCATAGATGAGGCTTAATAACATTGGAGGGGTGCCTGACTCCTGCTTAGAGGGAATCTGCCATATTGCCCAATGTTTATTCATGACAGTATGAAATATATCCAATCATTTGGGATCCTAGCAGAAAGAAGCAGAACCTTGCTTGATATCTGCTTCATATTTATGACGTTTTGCAGTCTCCTGAGGTCGAGGGATGCTATTTGGCGACCTTCCAACAAGCAAAATCAATGGGAAAACCAGATTCACAGAAATTGCAGAAAAAACAATGGCTACCAACCTGCCTTCCAATGAGGACCTGTACACTGCACGAGTCAAAAAGAGGGCTGTGAAAATATCTACAGACCCCTCACATCCTGAACATAAGTTCTTTCAATTCCTACCCTCAA